AGGATTTAGCATTTTGTCAGTCCTTGTTGGCTTAGGTTAGAGATGACTTCTCAAAACACGCTGACACAGCTGGTCATAATCATCATTTAGGTATATGAACTTCTCTTTAAGGCATACACAGAGGAAAAACACCAGAGGTGCTGGGAATTAAGATAAAATACCAAGTGACTAAACTAGGAAAAAAGAATGAAACAAAGCTGATAGAAAGTATCAGCTATTGTCACAAGAGCCAGCCCATTTCAGCACATATAAATAGTACATAGTATACATGTCCCTAAGTCCTTTGCAGTTTCCAGTTCACCAAAAAGGTGACCGTCTGCTGGCCCTGTCAGGCAGAAGTACAGCGGCCCTCATGAAGAAAGCTCTTACAGCGGCAGCCGAGACGCAACGCATGAGTTTGCCAGCAGGGCGGTACTGCAAAGGAGGAGTCTCCTGGCAGCAGGATTCACCTGGCTGGGAATAGAGTGATCTTGACCACAGCTGTAATGTCAGCTGGAAGACAGAACATGTAACATGAGAAAGACCAGTATTACATACATTACCTTATGTACATACAGCTGACACACACTTAACAGGAAGCACTGTATATTATCTTCAGATGAGTGTTTGCAAAGTGCAGTTGACAGGTTACCTAACTGTATCCAGCTTCACTAAAACCAATGAAGATATCAGTGCTAGAGCTAGGATAAAAAATATCTTGTTCTGAATTAATATGAATGAACCTAACAGAGGTCATGTGTGTAGAAAACAAGAGCTTCCTCTTTTCCAACAAAGCTGGAAATAAATATCTGTCTTTAATCTTAGTGAACTTGCTTTAGTCTCATTTGCTTTGCAAGAAATAGACTCTACTGCTCTCTGAACTCAATGGGAGCAAGATGAAAGTCCAAAATCAGAAAAGCATCCTTATTTGGGAGAGTATAGAAGCCTCATCTAGATTAAACATTAGCTTAATGTGGGACTGCATTGCAGGGAAGGACTGCACTATATCTATCCAAGGATTTTCCTAAATCAGAGCCATGCACTCATGTCCTTAATGTATTAAAACCAGTCCATTAATGACTTTTCACTAAAGTTCTTGATCACCTGTTGATCAAGAAGAAAAAAAACCCAAAAAATTCATACCAGGAAAATCATATTCATTAACTATGAAATGTTGTGTATTTTAAAAGATTAATAAAATGTAACATAATTTGTATTCTGCCTTCCAAAATACTGAGAATGAAGCTGAGTGATTCAAAGGCATTCTGCTATAAACAGTAAAGACACAGACTTATCGAAGTATATGTGTGTACTTTAACAACACTTTAAACTGTTTATCAAGCAATTTTGCTTTCTTTCATAGGCCACCCAGAAATCTTTCCTTTAGTTTTGACTACAAAGACCCAAGAAATTTTTAATTGCCGAGTTGATGAAGATGTCACAGAAGAAAATTGTTTCAAAATTATTAAAAAAGAAGATATCATTCAGGACCTGGAAACAAGAGCTAACATTTCTGATTTCTATCCTGTCAGAAAAGTTGTCCTAGTATGTAGCTTATTTCATTCTCACTTTAAGACTTCATGCTCTCAGAGTGTATATTCTTCAAGGGAAAAGGTCTGCCCTTGTTTGACTCTGTGTAAATACACTAATGCTGTAACATCTGAATGCTATAGGTCATGGACCACTGTCAACTCAAAGTTTCTCATGGCTCTCCATGAACTTTTTTTTTTTTGCTAACTTTAGATTGAAAGTATGCTAAAAGTAACATAAATACTATTAGTTCTGATTCTGTGAACTGGGAGAGCTTCACATACTTGGTTTCCCCTAATTCATGGCCTATTTATTGAGAATCATTAAAACAGTTTATTTTCTGTTTAATGCTCTGTACGAAAGATTAGTTTTGTCCCAGACTTATTTTTATTACAAAATAAAATCCATCTGTTCTTTTCAATTAGCACATGAAATTCACTTTAAAGACCACTAAATTAACCTAAGATACTAAATTAACACTAGTCATAGCTGTTCCAGTCACAGCCTCATGTTTGTTTTGAATGTTATTTGTTTTCAGTTTTCCACTAATTGTTTTAATTAAAATAGGAATATCCAGGGGAAGAACTTTTGGTAGTTTTTGATGCAAAGTTCCAGTACGGACAAAACTTTTACATTGTTGCTTCTGAGGAAGCCAAGGAAAACCTTGTAAAGGTAAAATCCAAGTATACCACAGCATTGTTCTATCTATGAATATTTCAGAATCAAGTCTCAAACATATACTTCAGGAATGATATTGTAATCATAAGCATCTGATGTTTCTCTAAAGGGTAATCTGAGCATGGAAAAATATCAATGTATCACTGTAAAAATATCTTTTATACTGAGAAGGGCTGAATTAAATTTTTGTATTTTACTTCAGAGGGCCAGTAGTACCCCCATTGCTACATTTTTATCTTAAGTATTAATTTTCTTTGCCAAGACTCAGATTTCTCAGACATAAAAATAAAGGACAATATATTATCTTCAAATAAATATTATACTTATTTTTCACAATATGGAGGGATATATAGTCTTCAAATCATACATTAAAATGTTCTTGATTTCTAAATAGCCCCAGATACATAGAACATTTCCCCTGTACACTATAGGAGAAGGTTTATAGGAAGATTACATAATTTTTCAACATGAGTTTGTCATCCAGCATCAGGAAATCAGGAGAAGTAGCAATGAAGAAAATGAAACTGCAGTTCCAGCAGAAAATCAATATAAATTCTTTTTATATAAAAGTGTTTTGCTTTCAAGACAACAGTCTTAGTTTAGTAGTTAAATATTAAACATGTAACATTTATTGGAAAATTCTAATGCACAAATGAATGGGACCTAATCCAGCCCTGCCCAGGGGCACAGTGTAGCCAGACTCACTGCATTGAGACAAAAGTAAAGAATGTGTGAATGAAGACTGAAAACTGGGTTTCTAGTTCATACTTACATTTCAGTAATAAATTTTTTGAAAAGTAACATTTCTCACTATTTGATGTCACAGCCTCCAGAAACTGCAGAAGAAGAAAAAGAAGAAGATAGAGAGGAAGTTCTGGATCCTTTTAAGCCTCTTGTCCCCAGACCCTGGGTTTCTCTTGGCAGCGAAAAGGAAGTTGAAGAAGAATCTCTTAAAGACAATGTTACAAAGGTCAGAATCAAGAGATGTTAGTCAAACAAATAAATATAAAACCCCCAAATATATTTTAAGTTCCTTAAAAACAAAAAGTCAGGAAGCTGGAAGTTGCGATCCTAATTTTGCTTGGGGTCTTTCAAGAAAACCGACAAAGAGAGAGAAATAGAGAAATAGCTTCACTTTTAACAAAAACTGAAAGTGCTGTAGAAACTTTCTTTTTAGACTCTGTTCTCTAAGTCCTGCAACTAAGACATGTGAGACTGCATTGAACATAACTACTTTTTAAGGTGTAAGTTCAAAGGTCCTTATCCTCTTTGGTCATTGGCACCTCTGCTGCTTTTTGTTTAATTTATGATGTGGTCAGATTACAAATTGAGTTACTGCTCTGTATCCTTGAAGCTCAGTGAACTGTTTCATTCCATGGATGGCATTTAAGTAGTATGCAACACTTAAGTGTTACTGACTACAGGTATTACAAGCTGACTTTACAGAAGGACATATTTGATTAATTACATCTACAGATTATACTGAGAAAATTTTATGTCCAAAAAGTAGATCCACTCACAGCTTTCACCTAACTTGTGATGTGCGGGGCATCTGTAAGCATCTAACTGTCCATCAGTGATTTTTACTCAATACCTAAATCCCTGCTCAGGAGAGACTGGCTAAGTTTTGATAGTTCTCAGCAACTGGACATCTTGATTATACTTAAAAAGATGTCTGATTGTTCTAAAGCTAATTCACAGTCACCAAATTTAAAACATTGACAGTCCAAGTGTTCTGTATTGCTAGCAAGGTCCACTAGAAAGTGCTATGAATCCAAGACAAAGCAGTACCTTTCTACTGCCTGAAATCAAGTGCCTGCTTCTCTTTGTGGGTAGAAGTCAAGCCACGTCCCTTCTTCCTAGTTCTCACTATAAGGAAATTCCTCACTCAAATTTTTGTGAATCTTCCTCAGAGTACTTTTCTCTCCCTAGGTAGTGCAAGGAAAGCTGAAATACCTCACCCAAATTGAGAATTCCGCTAAGAGGGAAGGGTGGAGAAGTTAGGTCTTGGAAGCCTAATTTAGTATTACATAAGGCTTTCTGCAAATTAATCCTTCAATTAAACATGAGATTTTGATATTGCATGGATTAGAAAATGTATTTCTCTTATTCTACTAGCAGTTATCCAAAAATGTTACAGCAACTTCTTGTTTTAGAAATACAAACCTGTGTTCTATTACATATGTAGGTTATTTCTAAGAGCACTTCAGAATTTCAAAATGCAGAAATATAAGTTAACTCAGCAGAGAAATCATCAATAGGACTAATTCTATGATTATATGAATGCTGCCATTTTACAGAATGTTTTTACAGTTTTACAAAAACATTCTCTTCTACTAACCATGGAAATACATCTTTTCCAGATTAAATTCAAGATTTCTCGAGTACGCAGGAAGTTTGGTGCACCAATTGCATTTACTGATAAGAATGCTTCATATGAAACAGACGGTTACATTGAATGCACCTCTTATGAAGACAAAACTTTCAGTATTAAAATGCTTGAAAAAGATGTGGGGGTGCAAATAGTTCCAAAAGTAAGAGAAGCTAGTACTCAGACAAAATGGTAAGTATGAGAAAATATTTACAAGTTTATTTATTAAGCTATGCACTGTTTCGTAACTAAAATTCTAGAGTTAGTTGCAAACTGATTAATTAATAGAACAAAATGGGATGCTCTGTTTGTATCTTCCTTCTTCCACTCTTTTCCAAAGAGTTTCTAGGAAAAAAATCATACATTTAGTTTTTAATTTCACACACTACATGGGTTTCTGTATCTGAAATGGTTTCTGTACTTACATTCAAATTTATTCAACTGGTTAGGACCTATCCAAAAAATGCAGCCACGCAGTATTGTCCTAGGCAGTTCTCAGAGGAAGAGAAAGCAGAGAGTCTGTCATCTGAGAGGCTGAAAGAATTCCTTACATCAGTACACTTAAGGTAAAATTACTGCAGCAATACCCTTAAAGGCTACCTGAAATAATACAGAATACAAGCAACTACTCTTGTCTGAGTGGATCATTGATCTGGTCAAATACCAGTTTTACTTTTTGTTTCTATACACTTTTTTCCCTTGTTTATTATTGTAATACTAACATAGTAATTTAATAATTAATGAAAATCAATTAATTATTAATAATTAATAATAACAATTTTAAATTACATGAAGTCTGTGCCATATAAATATGAATTATGTTTTAAATAGATATTGAACTGCTAAAGTTAATAGTGATACATCTTTTCAAATAAACTGCAAAGCTGATCTTTCAAACACTGGTCACTCAAGTAGAGGGTTATGCAGTGAGCAAAGGTGCAGTCCTACATGTCCTCAGTCATGGGACAAGTCCCACTTACACTTTTTGCACAAGAATTGGGCTGTACTTGGTCCACACAGAACTAGAGTTAAATTCTTGGTACAATGGCTATTTCTATTTAAACGTAAGAGGGTTTCCTTGCAGCGATACATCACTGAGGAATTAAGTTTTTAACTATTGTGGTCACAGTTTTGTGTAAAACAAAAGCTACCTCTTTACAGAAATTTTTGTGATTCTATTACCAAGTAGTCACATCTGGATTATTGAAGCGTTAACTGTTCTTTCCACAAAACAGAGTGGAAATTGCATTGCAGCAAAATGAAATTATGAATGCTTTTTTTGATGACTGGAAGGCCCTAGCAGAAGACAAAAGCAGTTCTGATGGCAAGCCAGATGTTTACCTAAAAGCACACCAATCATTTACCAACCTGCAGTACCTCAAGGACAGAACCATTAGCTGCGTTTGCTGGCATCCGATGGCTTCTGGTAAAGCAGTTACAATACTCATTTGAGTCTTCAATGACGGGTATTATATGAGAGCTAAAAAATATGCATCTTTCATAAAATTAATCAGCTTTCAAATTTAAAAACAAATCAAAACTAATTTAGTATACCTGTCAGAATTGCTGATTTGAGATGAAATGAAAAATGAGAGACAAATTCTTTGTAGAATTCAGGCAGGAGATAGGCCATGCAAAGTCCTTCACACTAATGTATGAGTGGAGATCATAGGAAAGAGAAATGTCTCCCTTATGAGGTTCACTAAAGCAGGGCTACAACTGTGCCAGGTCCTTCTCCCCAAGGCTGGCTCTTGTAGCATGCTTAACACTTGTGAGGAATGTTACAGCCACGATGGGACGTGGCTCTGATGAGTGCCAGGGAGCATCACAAGACATATTAAATGTCAACTCCTGCCCCCTGCTGTGGATTATTGCTCTACACAGCCAGACTTAAAGCCTCGCTTAAGTTCTATGTAAATGCCCCTGCTGCACTACCAGCCAACACTGAAGCCTGTGTAGAAAATTAACTGGGCTACAAAAGATTTGGTTTCCGGACGGGTGGTCAGGACTATATGCCTGTCACTTCATTTCAGGTGCAGTATTACACTACTGAGGAGCAGCAGCAAAAAAAGCTGAATTTTATCTTGATACTTAGGTTCTATGACTCATTGTTAAATAACTTCATCTTAAGTAACAAAAATAGTTTTTTCAAAGCTGATCTGAAAGAAAAAAAAAATAGTTGGTTTGTTTTGGTTTGGGGTTTTTATTTTGCTTTTTTTTGCACTATATTCAGAAGGTATAAATATAAGTCACTCAGAATAATTAACAGTGTGTTGAAACTTGAATTGTGTCTTTTGAGAAAATTAATTTTTTTTTCTCATTCAGGGATTATAGCAGTGTCAGCAAGACAGCAGCTTTCTTATGAAGAGCAAATTAAACTTTCTAAAAAATCACGGCTGCACCGATCAGTAATACTTTTTTGGAGTTTTTCTGACCCTATCCACCCCCAGGTATTTAACCAAGACTTTTAAATTTGCCAAGTGTTTAAATAACAAGAGAAAAACAAATGGTGTGACTGTATTTCTCAATTACCTTGTTTTTCTTCTTTCTAGTTAATATTGGAGTGTCTTGAAGACATTTACTGCTTCCAGTTCAGTCCAAGTGATCCAAATATCGTTGCTGGTGGCTGCATCAATGGACAGGTGTTAATTCACTGTTTAAAAATAAAATTGGATATTTCTGTATTTTCTTACAGGATGAAAATAAGGGTGAAGTGATGTACTCAACATCTATAGTAATATATAGGGACAGAAGACAGATGTCACAGACTCTTAGAAGCTCTCTTATCCTGGACTGAAGCTATGCCTGGTTATTCCATAGCTAAACCATTATTGTATGATGCTTCTTTGTAGTACTGATAAATAGGTCAGGTTGTAAAGACTTTTTTTGAGACAAGTGTAGCCTTTCAGTTGATTGCATCAGACTAAAGAGAAAATACTTTAAAGACTTTATAAATTCTAGCACAAAGAGAGAATTTCTTATTTTTCCCTGAACCTCCATGATTTGGAAAAAAATTAGTATTAATATACAGGATGAAATAATTTGTATTATACTCATTTCTCGTTGTAGGTTGTACTGTGGGATATTTCTCAACATGGAGAAAAACTGCAAATTGAAAAACCTGTTGCTGATGAAGTCATCGACTCAGACAGCGAGGCGACAGCAGCGGCAGAAGTGGCAACTAAGGTAAGTCCAGGGGTGATGGTTGGATTGTGCTTTATAGGGACCCAAGGAGATTTAGCTGTGGGTCCTGAGGAAGCTGGCAGATGAAATTGCTAAGCCACTATCCATCATTTTTGAAAAATCATGGCTGTCAGGTGAAGCCCCTGATGACTGGAAAAAGGGAAATATAACCACCATTTTAAAAAAGGGTAAAGCAGAAGACCCGGGGTACTACAGACCAGTCAGTCTCACCTCTGCGTCAGACAAGATCACGGAGCAGATTCTCCTGGAAACTATGCTGAGGCACATGGAAAACAAAGAAGTGATTGGTAACAGCCAACATGGCTTTACAGAGGGAAAATTATGCCTAACAAATTTGGTGACCTTCTATAATGGGGCTACAGCATTGGTGGACAGGGGCAGAGGAACTGACAATATCTTCTTGGACTTAATGCAAAGCATTTGACACTGACCCTCACAACATCTTGTCTCTAAATTGAAGAGACATGAATTTGGTGGATGGACCACTTGGCGGATAAAGAACTGACTGGATGGCCACATGCAGAGTTGTGGTCAACAGCCCCTTGTCCACATGGAGATGAGTGAGGAGTGGTGTCCCTCAGGGGTCAGTACTAGGGCTGATCCTGTTCAACGTCTTTGTCAGGGACATGGACAGTGGGACCGAGGGCACCCTCGAACACGTTTGCTGCTGCTGACGCCAACTTGTGTGGAGCAGTCAATGCTGGAGGGAAGGCATGGGACATCCAGAGGGACCTTGACAGGTGGACTGATCCAAACCTCATGTAGTTCAACAAAGTGAAGTGCAAGGTCCTACACCTGGGTTGTGGCAACCCCAGACAAACCTACAGGATGGGCAGAGAAGTGACTGAGAGCAGCCCTGCAGAGAAGGATTTAGGCATGACGGTTGATTAAAAACTCAACATGAGTCGTCAGTGTGTGCTCACAGCCCAGAAAGCCAACAGGATCCTGGGCTGCATCAAAAGGTGTGTGGCCAGCAGGTTGAAGGAGGTGATTCTCCTCCTCTACTCTGCTCTTGTGAGACTCCACTCAGAGTACTGCATCTAGCTCTGGTGTCCCCAACATAAGAAGGACATGGAGCTGTTGGAGCAAATCCAAAGAAGGGCCATGAAGTTGATAAGAGGACTGAAGCACTTACCCTATGAAGACAAGCTGAGAAAGTTGGGGCTGTTCAGCCTGGAGAAGAAAAAGCAACCTTCCAGTATCCGCAGGGGTCCTACAAGGAAGCTGTGATGGGACAAGGAGTAATGGGCACAAATTGAAAGAGGGGAAATTTAGGTTAGATATTAGGAAGAAATTTTTTACTGTAAGGGTAGTGAGACACTGGAACAGGTTGTCCAGGGACACTGCGGATGCCCCAGCCCTGGCAGTGTTCAAAGCCAGGTTGGATAAGGCTTGAGCAAACCGGTCTAGTGGGAGGTGTCCCTGCCCATAGCAGGGGGTGCTGGCACTGGATGATCTATAAGGCCCATTCCAACCCTTTAACATTCTACAATTCTATGAAATTGAGATAGCAGCTATTAATATGGTAAACATATTCCAGTGAAGGAAAAATGGGTGAAGGTATCCTGATTCAAAAGAGAAGAGTAGATAATCTTTGCAATGAGAGACTAGAAAGGATAAGAAATCTGATGAGTTCATGAAATAAAACCATTATCACAATATAATTTCTACCTGATTAGTACAGCTTAATAGCTTTACTGCATTTTGTGTGACTTAGGCTTCTATTCTCTAATGGGCACCAACATCCTCTCTGCTCTTGCCTTACGAAGCCTATCAAATACAGAGAGTGTTTGTTACTGAATGCAATACTGAAAAGTATTTTAGATGTTTATGGATAGAGAAAAGGTAGCTTGGAAGAGAACAAGATTTCAGTGGAAGAAGACAATAAAGAGGATAATCAGAAGGGAGACCTAAGAGCAGAGGAGAAACTAATAAGTGGATGTGTGCTTGCCTGTGGAGATATGCTGGAATTGTTTTTGGAGCTTCATATCCAAAGGCCTGTTTTGATACTTTCCTTTTTTTTTTTTTTTCCCCTAGAGGAAGTTATTAGACCCCTTGAGAGTTCTATAAACTGATCTGAAATACGTGAAGCAGCATTAACAGAATGCAAAGTAATGTTTTTTTGTTTGATAGATCTACTATTTGTAAATACACTGATACCTCTTTTTAAAACATTTCTAGCCATCACCTGTGCAAGTCCAGCAGAGTAGCACAGAGCCACCTCTAGTGAAATACTGTGCAGTCTCTTCCAGAGAGTATAGTCACAAAAAACCAGTAACAGATATACAATGGCTGCCACGTCATTCTGAGGTGAGTTTAAAAATTCACTTTTCTTCTTTTTATTATTTTCCTAATGTACTAAGTCAGAAATCCTTGTGTAAACTCAGGAGAAAATATTAAAGCGTAATTATTTGTAATAACCTTCATTATTTCTCCCTGCATTTAGTAAATATTAAAAACCTGGTGTCTCTTATCCTGTTTGTTGTGCTTCACAACTGTACTGGGTTCTCAGTCTGGCATAAATCTGCTCATACTGAAAAAAATTTCTGCAACTTTACTGAAAATTATAATTCAAAATTTTAATAAGCCTTCCACATCTAAAATGTGTTAAATTTCTACTATGAACAATCTAGCCTGTCACCAAAAAATTCTGAGAAATAACTTCAATTACCTAAATATCTGGGTACCCAAGAATGGTGGTGTTGCAGTTACCTTCGTTGTTCAAGGTGCTGCCTGTGTATTCAAAATATTAATTTTCTGTGATGGTTTTAAAGCTCCATAGTACTTAGGGTCTTAGTAGTTAAAGGGTCCAACACTATTGTAGGAGTACTGGATGCTCAATTACCATCAAAGTGTTGCAAATGGTTGCTAAATTAATTTGAAATGCAAATGTAGTCAAATGCAGTGATCAAATAATGACAGTGGAAAAATAGGCCAAGAGGAAGAAAACTGAAATCTTTAAAAGGTTTATGCAGATTTTTAAGACTTTTTAAGGATACTGCAGTCCTTAGCAACATTACCAGAAAAGTGAGGAAAAGGGTACACATATGTCATAAAAAGAAAGCTGATACGACTGTTCATTATTATTTTATGCTACAGTAATACTCATGGATACTAATCAGTACCAGATGTAAAACATGTGGAAAGGGATTGGATAGCAGACATTGTTGTGGTTTTTGTTGTTTGGGTGGGGTTTTTTAGTCAAGATTTAGACTGAGAAAGCTGTTTTCATGTTCATCTGGGATAAGAGATACAGGAAACCCTGCTTAATAAATAACACTGATAAAGGAATCACTTCATCAGTATTTAGCAACATGTACTGAGACATACTTTTTGTTATATAAACATGGAATATGTATCAGCCTTTGCACGGCAGAGCAGTTTTTATGGCACAGTTCCTAAAATCAGTTTTATAATTATATATTAATAAGAAATTATTCAAAGTTATATCCAGAACCTAATTCAGCTTTGCCTGGTTGCAAGATTACCATTATCACTCCAGGTAGACAAATTCATGCATGAAAATTAGAGTAGGCCTAACTTGCCATAAAAAATACAAAACGTGTAGCTGAAATTTTGCTACGTGGTTGATAAGTACAGTTTTAGCCAAAATATATATTTTTCATACTCTGGAAATTATATTTGATCAAGGTTCAGCCTATAATAGCTTGGTACTCTTGACATCTTTCCTTTATTTTTCTGAGTAACTAAAATTAATTTGGAATTAGCCAATAACTTGGTAAATGATAAGTAGTATAAAACCTGCAGAACCCCACACATACAAACTAAACTATTAGTAATTAACATTTGAAGGGATCACTACCGTCCCACAGCGAGGTCAAGCCAAGTGGGAAATAAATTTCTGAATGGTTAGCTCTTTGGTTAAACTGCATAAAAGAAGTTAAAACATGGAAAACTAAGGAGGGCCTGACTTGCAGTGGTGCCAGTAAGTATTTATCCTGCTCAGTTAATTTAGAATTTTAGGTGTGTAGCAGGCAAAGCTGATATCAGTTCACTTGAAGTACATTTGTAAAATAGCTTGACTTTATAACTGCAAATTAATAAGTCCTGATTTTCAAACTCTACCCAAGCAGAAACAGGAAATTAATTTCTAGTAACCTGTTTTTTGTGTTGAAGTACTTACGTGGCAGAGTGTGGTTTTTGTCTCTCATCTTCTTCTTCCCCTGTAATAATTATTACTATTATTTTCAGGAGAACCAAAACAAAGGTGAAAATTGCCTGCAGCTTGTAACCTGCTCCCCTGATTGGTATATACAACATATACTCTACAAGATGTCTTCCAGTTGCCTTTGGAAAGCTTTATGGAGCATAATCCATGATTTAACTAGCACACTTCTGGATTCCTATCAGCATATCCTGAATAGCTGAAATTTTGTATGCAGAAGACCTGCACT